TTGTGCTGGAAATGGATGAAAACCAATTTTCAGGCCATTTGCCTGAGAATCTTTGCCAAGGTGAGAAACTTGAGAACTTCACGGTGAATAGTAACAAGCTGTCAGGGCCAATTCCAAGAAGCTTGAGCAAGTGCTCGAGTTTCAAAAGGGTTCACTTTGATAACAACAGTTTCACCGGGAACTTATCTGAAGCTTTTGGTATCTATCCAGAGCTTCAATTAATTAATTTGAGTGAAAATGATTTTCATGGTGAACTCAGCAGCAACTGGGGAAAATGCGAGAATTTGACTGATCTGCGGATAGCCAGAAATAACATTAGTGGCAACATACCGCCAGAGATTGGAAACCTGAGAGGGCTACTAGGACTTGATCTTTCATCAAATCATTTGGTTGGGCAGATTCCCAAGGAATTTAGAAAATTGACCTCTCTAGTTAATCTTTTTGTGCAAAACAACAAAATTTCTGGCAGTATACCTGGGGAAATTGGGTCACTAACAAAGTTAGAAACCCTTGATTTGTCAGGCAATGTATTTAATGGGTCAATCCCGATGTTTATAGGAGATTACATGAAACTGATTCACTTGAACCTGAGCAACAACAGATTTGGCCAGAACATTCCGATGGAGATAGGAAGGATAACTCACCTTAATGTGCTTGATTTGAGCCATAATCTTCATGATGGAGAAATACCCCCTCAGTTGTACCATTTGCAGGACTTGGAAATCATCAATCTTTCCCACAATCACCTCTCTGGCCGCATTCCTAAAGAATTTATAAGTTTGAGTGGTTTGCAGGATGTCATATTGTCATACAATGAGTTGGAAGGTCCAATACCAAATAATAAAGCTTTTATGAATGCCTCATTAGAAGGTAATAAAGGTCTTTGTGGTAATGTAACAGGATTCCAGCCTTGCAGTAGTAAATATCTTACTTGAGTTGCACGAGTTTTGATGACTTAAGAGAAAGAAGAATTGCTTCAAGCTAAGTGTGAAAGTCTCAATTGTTGCGGCTAAATCCGTTCTACCAGTGTTTTTTCCAGTTAATTAGTGCTCAAAAAAAGACAAAAGGGGTTGCTCTGGTGGTAAGCAACTTCTACTTCCAACCAAGAGGTTATGAGTTCGAGTAAGGTGGGAAGTTCTTGGAGGGAAGGATGCCGGGGTCTATTTGGAAACAGCCTCTCTACCCCAGGATAGGGGTAAGATATGCGTACACACTACCCTCCCCAGATCCCACTAAGTGGGATTATACTGGGTTGTTGTTGTTGTTATAGTGCTCAAAAAATCTGCTCAATTGTGTCTGTTTTGAGGGGCTAAGACTCCTTTTATTTTGTGTTTTTTCATAAAAACAAGGATTCTTATCCTGTTACTATCAATCCAATCTAGGAACAAGTCCTCCTAAAATGGAATGAGTTTGCAATTAGAGATTATCCATCATAACATATCTCCATCATCTATGCCTAATTTCATGGATAAAATCAGTGATAACGGATTTAATTAACACGCAGAATAAAATGATAGATAGTAATGGAAAACCATGGATACTCTTAGTATGTTTATCTAGTGCTTTAGTTGCTTCTGTAAAAGAGGCAGCAGCAGTTGTGCTTGTTATAAGAAAAGAATACTGTCATTTTAGTTAATTAGTCTTGGAATTCAATTCCACCAGAATTTAGTGTTTTGACAAATCTTTATTGTTCCAAAACCCATCAAACGGCTCAACAAAGAAGAAATAGGAGAATTGAAATCACTTTACAAATATAGAGTTTTAATCTCAGGGCCTTTAGAATTACGCATCTTGATTTGAGTTTTAACCAATTGACTGGAAATATTTTTCTTGTATGTGTCACCATACCCGAAGTTTCTCCTTATGGATTTCATAGTAAATTCTATGGATAACCCTTTAGGAATTGGGAAAGTTCAGAACCATTGTAACTTGTTGTCAAATGGGCAGGTTAGACTGATTGTGTATCACGATCCGGAGTCTCAACTTCGGGGTCGTGATGACGCCTAACATCCACTTGCTAGGCAAGCTGACATGAAATAATCAATAAACCAGTTTTAACAGTTAAAAACACAATAATGATATTCAACGAGAAATAAAAGCCAAGTCTAACACAGTACTGATATAAACCATGTGATGACATCTACTCCCAAAAATCCTGAGTCATGAGTTCACATGCAACTAGAAGTCTACAACCAAGGTCTGAAATAAATACAATTGTTTCGAAGGAAATAAACAGTAAAAGCGGGAAATGGAAGGGGACTTCAAGGTCTGCGGATGCCAGCAGATCTACCTCGAGTCTCCATATGAAATGATCCGAGCTGATGCACCTCATGAAGCGCTGGGACCAATACCAGTATCTGCACAACAAGTGCAGAAGTGTAGTATGAGTATAACCGATCCAATATACTCCGTAAGTGTCGAGCCTAACCTCGACGAGGTAATGACGAGACCATGACAAAACATCTACGTAAATAAACTTGTACAAGTGTAAATAAAGCATCAATAATAACAAAGAATGATAACATACTAATTGGGAGGGAACATGCGAAAATAGGAAGATATAATAAATACGGCAAGTATGAAATCACAAAATAACCAAGTAAATCACCAAAACTGGAAATCAGTCAAATCAATGATACGAAAATGGCACGGCATCACCCTTTGTGCTTTTACTCTCATCCTCACCATGCAATAATAATATGATGAATATAATGGCACGACATCACTCGTTGTACTTTTATTCTCTTCCTCGCCATATAATAGTGATAATATAAATGAAATGGTACGATATCACCCTTTGCGCTCTTACTCACCATTTAATAATGATAATATAAATGAAATGGCACGGCATCACCGTTCGTGTATTTACTCTCCTCCTCACCAAATAATAACAATAATAAGATGAATTCGAATAATAACCCATACGGAGAATAATTTAACTTCAAATATGGTGTCATGATATCAAACTTCAAATTCCAAAAGAATATTCAACAGCTTTGAAATAAGCAATAAATACGAAACGAACAATCAAAGAAGTAATAATCTAACCTAAGCATGTAATCATAATTAACAAAACAATATAATACAAAGAAATAATTTCCACCTGCATGTTTTAACCAAATGACAATGCATAGATACTCGTCACCTCACATATAAGTTGTCCCTCCACGTAAAACACATAGCAAATAGACCAACAAGTTCTAATCCCTCAAGTCAAAGTTAACCACGATATTTATCTCACTTCGCAACCAAATCAATACTCAATCGCGGATTTCCCCCTAGAATTAACCTCCAAACCAATCACATCTAACAAAATATATTTCAAATAATTCAAAATAAGCTTTAGAAACTACCCACGAGTGAAAAAGATTCAATCATTAATATTTTTGAAAAAAGTCAACAAAAGTCAACCCTAGGCCCGCTTGGTCAAAACCCGATATTCGCACCAAAATCCAATTACTCATTCACCCCCGAGCCCGGTTATGTGATTAGTTTTGAAATCCGACCTCAATATCTCAAAATCTCCAATTTCTACCTAAGTCCCTAATTTCTACCATGGAGAAACATAGATTAAAGGTTAAGATCAATGGGTGTTTATGAAAATGTAAGGAACAAGTTAAAATATACTAATCTATGAAGTTGTGCTGAAAAACCTCTTCAAAATCACCCCTAGGACGAGCTCAAACTTGAAAATGGTGAAAAAGAGGATGATTCCCGGTATTCAGAAGTTTTAAAGATTGGGCGTCAGGTGTTCATCGCGGTTGTGAGAAATCTGATGCGTTCGCAAATCATTACGGCTTACTGACCTTCGCGTTCGCGAGATTTTGTATGCGTTCGCGAGATGTTATACGCATTCGTGATGGTCTGTCCCCCCCGGCCTTCGCGTTCGCGAGCCTAGGCTCGCGTTCGCTTAGAACAACTGACTAACTTCCCCCAGGTCCCTCCCTCCACTACGCATTCACAAGATGGAGACCGTGTTCGCAAAGGGTTAACCCCCACTACTTCGCGTTCGCGAAAAATGAATTCCTCGTCCTCAAACAGCAGGAACAGCTTTACCAGCAAATCCTCTAAGTCCAAAATTGATCTATAGCTTATCCGAAACTCACTTGAACCCCTCGAGCTCCAAACCAAACATACACATAAATATAATAACATCATACGAACTAACTCGCGTGATCAAAACACCAAAATAACACCTAGAATTACGAATCAGATATCAAAATGCATGAAATTTTCAAATAAACTCAAGAACTTTTAAATTCACAACCGAGCGTCCAAATCATATCAAATTAACTCCGTTTTGCATCAAGTTTTGCAGACAAGTCTTAAATAGTAAAATGATACTATACCAAGTTCCAGAACCAAAATTCGAACCTGGTAGCAATAAAATCAACATATGGTCAAACTTCAGAATTCCTTAAACCTTCAAATTATTAGTTTTCAACAAATCACGTCAAAACAAGTCAGGGACTTCCAAATTCAATTTTGAGCATACGCCCAAGTCCGAAATCACGATACGGACACACCGGATTCGTCAAAATACCGATCTGGGTCCGTTTATATAAAATATTGGCCATAGTCAACTTAAATCATTTCACATAAAATCTTTCGAAATAAGATACGGACTACACATGTAAATAGAAAAATACTAAACGGAGCTAATCGAGGTCTCGAAACACGAAAATGAAGGCTAAAATTCAAAATGACCTATCGGGTCATTACATCTTGGATGAGTCAAAATGGGCTGAGTCAAGAAATATGTGAATCATTGACCCACCTAAAAGTAACTTGGGTTGAAATGGGTTCGGCCTAGTTAGATTAAAATTTGAATCATAGCCAAACCCGTCCAACTCTTATCAAGCTTTAATTAATGTGTATTATTTTCTTATAAATTGTTTAACAATCAAATAAGACTTTTTATCTTTTGTTATGGCAATATATAGCATATCAAACTAAAAAATTTATTTGAAAGATATTTTAGCAAAATTGCTCATGAATCAATTTGGGCTAAAAATCAGCCCAACTTTAGATGAGCTGGAATGGTTTGCGTCAAGATTTAAGGGGAAGTGTACATTTAGCCACTAATAACATATGTATTTATTTTAAAGCCACTGTTCCACTGCTTTAATAAACTTTACCTGCTCGGACGAAAACACCCTTCTGCTCATAAAAGTTCAGGACCAAGTGTCCTTAACTTTTGAACTTGCAACTCTAAGTTCAGTATTTCAGGACTACATGTCCTTAACTTTTGAATTTGCAACTCGAAGTTCAGGACTACATGTCCTTAACTTTTGAATTTGGAACTCGAAGTTCAGGACCACCTGTCCTTAAGTTCTGTGCTTGTAACTGTAAGTTAAGGACTACTTGTCCTTAACTTTTAAACATGTAAGTCTAAGTTCAGGACCTATTGTCCTTAACTTTTGAACTTGTAACTGTAAGTTCATGGCCAAGTGTCCTTAACTTTTGAGCTTGTTAGTCTAAGTCTAAGTTTAGGAACTTTTGTGCTTAACTTTGTGCTTATTAGTCTAAGTTCAGGACCTATTGTACTTAACATTTTGGCATATTAGCCTAAGTTCAGGACCTATTGTCCTTAACTTTTGAGCTTGTTAGTCTAAGTTCAGGACTTCAGGACCTATTTTCCTTAACTTTTGAACTTGTAACTGTAAGTTTAGGACCTATTGTCCTTAACTTTTGAGCTTGTTAGTCTAAGTTCAGGACCAAGTGTCCTTAACTTTTGAACTTGTAATTCTAAGTTCAGGACCAAGTGTCCTTAACTTTTGAGCTTGTTAGTCTAAGTTCAGGACCTATTGTGCTTAACTTTTGAGCTTGTTAGTCTATGTTCAGGACCTATTATCCTTAACTTTCTGGCTTCTTAGCCTAAGTTCAGGACCTATTGTCCTTAACTTTTGAACTTGTAACTGTAAGTTCAGGACCT